ACCCTGTGGGGGTCCGATACTCCGGTATTACCCTGTGGGGGTCTTGTTTAGTTGTTTTGTCGTTTGAGTCGTTGTTTTATTACCCTGTGGGGATCTTGTCTAGTTGTTTAGTTTAGTTGTGAGTTTCTTCTCTAGCGGTTGCTAGCCGTGTTTCTAGGCGGTCTCCTGACTTGCCTCCCACTTTTCAGCCTTTGGTTGCTTGTGTTCGCATATTTTTGCGCTTTTGATTTATAATAATATCTATCGTTTCGGAAAAAAAATAGTATATCAACTTATTTAATTACAAAGTCAAAGTTACTATTTTAATATTATTCCATCAACTTCTTTCAATATACCTATGCAAGGGGTAATTAATATAAAATGCATGTATCAAAGCAATCAATATGTCATTGGGTTATTAAATATAAATGCATGTATCAAAGCATTGAAATATTTTCTTTATCGGAACGATAGAGGTATTATAAACTCAAACCGCAAACAACGTTCGAATACATCGTCAACCCAGCAAAGCCGGAAATCAAGAATGGGAGGACACGCTAGAAGCGGCTTAAATCATAACAAAACGAGGAAAAAAATAGAAGAAAGCCAAACTAACCACTGGCAGGACTCCACTATAGCATTTCCAGATAAAATGCCTCAATGTACCCTTTGTTTTCAGTCCCCAACTCCTCAGCCTTGCTTTAATGCTCTCATTAAAGTTCAAACTGGGGCCTGGAATGTCTAAGAGCAAAAGCTGTTGTTTAACCAAATGTTGATAAGTGGGAGAGACTGAGTACTGTCCTTTTCTGTCAAAGCTCTAGTAATATCTATCATTCTTCTTTGGGTTGAGAGTTTTGATGTTGATGATTGCCTGGCTTACCACCTCATTGAAGAGGTGTTGTACTAACCATGAATTCCAGCTGAGGCCATTATCCATTAGAAGCTCCTTAACCCAAATTATGTGACCTCTAGCAATATGCAGCATATTAGGCTTGAAGTTCGGTAAGGATGGAATCCAATTTAAGTCTTCAATTCTGGTACTCTCTCCATTTCTAATCTCTTTCCTAAGACCCTGGGAAAATACATGCATGCAGTCCAACCAAGTGTGCCATAGCCAAGAGCCACCCTTGTTTCGGAAGCCTACAAAATGGAGCAGTCAGGGAAATATCTGTCCTTCAAGACTTGGGAAACAAACAGATCAGGCTGAGTAACAATTCTCCAAAGCTGTTTGCATATCAGAGCAACACTGAATAAACTCACTTCTTTAAAGCCAATGTCTCCCTCAGATTTGGGTAGAGCTAGATACTTCCAAGCTCTTCAATGGAAACTTAGCACTTAGGCTAGAGGTAGATTTACAATGGAAACTGGTAACTTGAAATATGACATTGTAAAGACAGGTAAAGCATTGAGCACAACTTTAATAAGGATTTCTTTACCTGTAGAAGACAACATCTTATTCTTCCAGCTCCCAAGTCTTGCTTGTACAGAATCCAACACATAAGAGAAGGTTTCTTTTTTAGATTGCCAATGCCAAGAGGTAACCCTAAGTACCTTGTAGAAGAATGCACTTGAATACCTTGCAAAGCTTAACATATTTAAGATTGGAGTGCAGCTGGTGTATTTTTAATGAAAAAGATGGAGGACTTATGCAAATTAACCCTTTGGCCAGAAAGAGCATGTATCTATCAAGTAAAGACATCAAAACCTGAGCTTGGTTGATCTCAGCCTTGCAGAAAAACAATGTAAATCACGTCTTATGGTTGCACGAACAAGATCAGATCGAAAATCGGATCAAACGGGTGCAAAATGGATGAAGACAAGCTTGCAGTCTGGGACACTCTGGTGTCGCATGAGGGCGCGTGCTGCGTCGTACGACAGCAATCTCGGCGGCGGTAGAAATATCTCGTCGAGACGATCCTCTGGGTATGTTGCACGCCTTGATCGGACCTTCAGTTAGATATGTATGATAAAATATATTTTGTCTCGGTTTACCTACAGATCTTCTACTGTATTACTCAATACACCCTTCTTGAACTTGTATCAGTGGAGCAACAAGAAGAAGATAAAGCTCGAATGGGAACTGAGAGAGAATATGGGGTGGCGTGTATGAGGCGTGAATTATGAGATCATGTGTTTTCTTCCCATGAGCGTAATGATGTATATATAGAGCTACAGTAGGGACCTTTAGGAGATTAGAATTAGGGCTCCTTAATTAATTAAAATACTTGTAGACCAATCCACTTATTTTAATCAATTAAATAATACTAAATGAGCCACCAACATAATATTATTGCACTCCCTTTTCCTAGCCCAATTTACAATTGAGACTCCAATAATAAATACTCGATTTATCTCCCCATATTTAAGATATAATTTCCATTAATTAATTTGATTACTGAAAATCAAGAATTAAATAATTTATTATAATTTCACCGAAGCTACCGCTCGTTCATCACATTATTACTATGTCGGTATTTAATCCACCTGCAGGACTTAGCATAATATTCCTTCATGAACTCACTCCAGGAACATCATCAAACTAACGCACATGATGACCGTAAATATCCTAACAACACATCCTACATGTAGCAATATTACCCAAGACAGCGGGTCTATTGGCCCACTTTACTAAGCCTGTAACACCCTACTTTTATTTGCCGAAAATCAACATAAATTTTTCAAATTTATTTCCAAATTATTTGTGGCATTACTCACTATCAAATCAATAATCAACAATATTCTCAATACTCAATCATCATTCATCATTCCTCAATAAACAATCATAATTTCTCAAACATCAATAAAATCCTCAATAAGAACTAAGGAGTATCTCCTTATTGATATTTCAATTCTCAATAATTCAATATTCATAAATAGCCATAACCAGTTCAATATGCGGAAGCTATATCGAATACTAAGTGACCACCACTCGCATCTCTCCGCACTTACTAAGTAATATCGAATACTAAGTAACCAGTTCAATATGCCCGCACTTACTAACATGCATCTATGAAGAGCATGTGGGGGTAAGCACAAATAGAAATCGTAGTGCTCACCACTATGCAGTAAACATTATTCACAATAATATAACAGTAATCAATAATAAATCAGGTTGGTCGCAGCATGTATACGAAACAATTATCTATACCAATCTCCCATCAATAATATCAATAATCAGACTCATGTGTACACACCTATCATTAGCTACAGTTGGTCTTTTCGAAGGCATCGCCATGTGTCTTACATCGTCATCCAACAGTAGGAGTACATGTCGAAGGCATCGCCATGTGTCTTACATCGAAATTCATTTCGAAGGTCTCGCCATGTGACTTACATCGACAAACATATTGAAGGCATCGTCATGTGACTTACATCGATATTGCCCACCGTGGGTCTTAGGGGGAAATCTTATCAAGGGAATAACCGTTCAATGGCTGGTACAACTCATATCGTAGGCTACATGATTCACATGCACACATTGATCATACCACACCAATCATTAATAACATATAATGCATAGGAAATTTCAAATAAAACCCACCTAGATATCGGATTTGGCAAAACACAATAAGCAATGGACATAGGTCAAGGCTTGACTCCTCAAACACCTACATTAATAAGTCAAGATACTACAATCAACATTTATCTTGACTTTGAACGAAGAACACAAATCATACTTAGTCGAACTTTATTCGACTAAGTTGTTCATGAAGTCCTGTGGACGTTAGAACACTTAGATTCAGCACTTAGACTCAAATAAAACATGTATGGGAGTAAACATAAACTCAATCAAAGGATGACCAAACCAAACAATAAAGAACAACATACGAGTCGGATTACAGATTTTTAACACAAAACTATAGTTTGAAATATTTGACGTGAAAACCACTTATTCAAGTTGGTCAGCTAATCGAATGAGTTAGGCTCTGAAACTTTATCATAAAATTCCTCTCACTGGACTTAGCAAAACCACCAAGTTTCAGCCCTTAACTCAAAACACACGATTTTATAAAATTGAAACAAGATTTCAGCAAAAACGGGAATAAATTCATAGCTTGACCTAATGAAAGATTTAAGACTTGAAATTTTTACACATGAAACTACAGCATGCGAGGATCAACATATAAAATTTCCAGCTCTAAATTTCAAACATACAATTTATAGAAATTCTGGCAAGATTCAGCAAAAACCTCATTTTAATCAAAACCTATCATAATGAACATAAATTCTGAAAAGTTTTATGCCACATAATACAACATAACAAGAGTATGCACACCAAAATTCAGCAATTTACGGTAAAGGGGCGATTTTTCTTAATTAAAACAAGTTTCAGCAGAATAACACACAATTAATTATCCTAGCAAACGAAGTCCAAAAATTATGAAATTTTTACACAACATTCAAATATGACAGAGGGACAACGTATTCAAAATTTAGTCATTTTGGAGCACAACACGATATTACATGCAATTTACAAGATTCTGCCCAAAAATCAAAACAAATATTAAAAATAGCTAGAGTTGGAATTAAATTATGAAATAGCTAGAGTTGTATGATTTTAAAGAAAAAAATAATAAAAATAATAAAACTTACTATTTAGGGGCTGCATTAAATTCTAACCTATTTTTTTGCTACTGTTTTTAGTAAATATTTATTCGTATCATCTATATATATTTCATCATACCAGCCACATGCCATAAAAGACTATATAATTACCAAGTTGAAAATATTTTAGTTATATTTGCAAAAAAAAAAAAATGTTATTTTTTGTAGCAATTAAACCATTTGTATACATTAGTAACTTATCAAATAAAATAAATTTTTTTGATATTTGTTAATTTTTTTAAAAAAAATCCATGAAGTTGGAATATTTACAAAATTACAATAATTTGTAAAATTTTCAATATTAATAATCTCAAACTGTATATTATTATATATGGATTTATATGGAATTGGGAAGATAGAGATTGTGTAGAATCAAATTGTATGTATAATAGGAATTGAGGGAGAAGATAGAGATTATGTCTATGATTGGTAGGATTGGGAAAATAGTGATTTAGTTACAAAGTAATTGTTACAAAATTAAAGAATATGATAATATATACTATTTTCTAATAATTTGACCAAAATATGTATTTGATCTTTACCTAAAAATAGACTAGGATTGACTGATTTTAAATGTTATATTAATCTCCTTTTTCTTCATTGTTTTTTGTTCTGATCTTTTTTCCAGAATCATTCTCTCGATACGCTTTCCCAGTCCGTTACTTCTCTACTTCTCTCTCTAACCCCTCTTACTCTCGCTAGTCGTATTAGTTTATCTCTCCGGCGCCGATCAAGGTTGGCTACTAATTTGTCTCGCCGGCGCGTCCCATGCAAACGCACAACCGCCCAAACAAGCAGCGATCGACGGCGGAGATAACCCTTTCGGTCTGCCGTTCTGGTTCAATTCACCTGAGCATCACCGGTGCTTTTCCCGGACTGATTTCGCTCCTCCATCCTCTGGAAGCGTCAAACGTAATAGCTCGGCATTGACCATGCCTATGGCGCGTGTGGATTTGCAGGTACGTAATCTTCGTTTTCGTTTTTCTTTTTAAATTTCAAATTTGGAAGAAAAAAAAAGTGTATAGCGTAGAATTTTTGTTGTTGTAATCGGACTTCTACGTCTAAGATGTATGTTGAAGTGATGAAGACGAAGTCTTGACGTGGTAGCTACACAGGAGCATAGCTATTGGTATGGTTGTTTGGTTTAGATGGTAGCAGCTAAATGAAGAGGTGAAATTAAGTCATTTGTTTCTGAAGAGAAATCGACCCTTGCAATTGTCTGTAACTGTAGTTATCTTCTACATTGCCATGAGTGAACTTCTCTGTGTTCTTCGAAACAATTTGGTGATTCATAAAGGTTACTGAAGATAGGATGACAGATACTGCCGCCGATCTCATAACCGAATTAATTATTATCCTGTGACAGCCATTTTTTACTGCGTATTACGACATGTTTTGACTTCACCGAGTTTAATCAACGATTGTTGCTGCACTTGATATATGAATTCCGTTTTTGCGACGTGAGATGGTTGTGTAGTTTAAAATATGAAATTATCATATCCATTCTATTTGTTTTCCCTGTTAGCTTTCCTTGTTCCTGTTTGATTTTGGCTGCTAATAAATGTACTGAAGAATGTGTGCTTTGCAGATGTAATTTGGAAGCTTTTATTAATTGTTAGGTTTCCGTTCATAGAATCGAAATATTTAGATATTTCGCGATCCGATGGTTGACTCGTGGGTCTATTAATTGAAATTACTATATTTGGGAGATTACTGTTGATGATGTGGCTTGTCGTCGATTATTTTCTAAGAAAGTTAGAGATATAAATGGCAGGCAGCAAATTCAGATAGTGCCATTAAGCATGTGCAGATTGCGTGTTTTCATCGAAAAGTATGGAACCTTTTCTATTGCCTTTTTCTTTCCCACTGTGAGTTTTTGAACAGGGAACTAGAAAGTGTAGGTAACAACAATAGAGGAAAGTACAAACACTCAGCTGTATTCCTGAGCTTTGCAACACACATTTTTTGTGTACAGCCTGTGCTGTGAATTTATGCACCATACATTATAATATGAATTATTTGCCACGACTTTATGTTATTTTAATTTACCACTGTACATATTACTATCTAAAAATTGAATTAACCAGATAACTGCTCGAACCAAACCATTGAAAAATGTGCGATGGACTCGTACCTTTTTGTTTCTGCTGACACATCTGAGAAGACCTTTATATAAGTCTGTTGTTTTAGTTGTTGTGGTATTTAGTTAAAAATTTGTGTAAGATGTGAACATTGAGAGGAAAAGGGAGCTAGCTTGTTGCTCTAAGCCTAGCTTCGGTATATTCTATATTATTACATGCCTGTTATGTCTGTATGATTCTGTCATGATGTGCCGATTTTATTCTTTATCAGTCTGCAAATTTTTCCGGGTATGTGAATGTTGCACTCCAACATTTTTATAGTAATGGATTTATTATTGGATAACTTTGACATGACATTGTAAATTCAGGAAATGAAGGCCGTTACTGAGATCTCTAAGGTGGGCACGCTTGAGGATACTTGTGAATTAGGCATGGGAGTGTGCCAGAGTCCTTGCAAATTGGATTTTGGTACTATCTACAACAGTCAAGTCAATGATGTCAAAAGTTCCAATGTTATTGTGACTGTGGCTGATTCCCTCAGTGATGATGCTGTTAACGATGAGGATGTCATTGCTAGGGAATTGAGGGGATCGTCTAAAGTAAATATCAAGCTTGATCAATTCGGTGAATGTAGTGATCCAAATGAAATTCTGGATTCTGTGAATGTTGAAGCTAGCAAACAGGATTCCAGCTGTTCACCAAAATGGCATGCTGAGTTTGAGAATCAAACGACTGAATCGGACGACCATGAGAAATTAGAAGCTGCGAATGAGGAAGTTAATGAGCAGGATTTGAAATATTCACCAATACTAAATACTGTGGTTGATGGTCAAGCTAAGGAATCAGATAGAGAAAATGAGAAATTGGATGCTGTAAATTGGGCATTCAATGAGCATGGATTGAGTGGTTCACCAAAATCAAATACTGAGGTTGAAAATCAAGTGGTGGAATCAGAGGACGAAGATGAGAAATTGGACGCCACAAATGGGGAAGTTGGCGAGAAGGAGGACTTGAGTGGTTCACCTAAATCAAGTACTGAGGTTGAAGATGAAGCGGCAGAATCCAATAATCATGCTGAGAAATTAGATGCCGTGACTGGGGATGTTAGCGAGCAGGATTCAAGTGGCTCACTGGAATCAGATATCGAGGGTGAGGGTCAAGTGGCAGGATTTACTGATCAAGACAAGAATTTAGATGCTGCGAATGGGAAAGCTAGTGAGCATCTAAATACTGAGGATTTTCCTCCTTTGGTAAAGAGCAGTTCCCTTGAGGATGGACATGGGTTCCACATTTCTTCTGTTAATTTGGATAGGAAAACTAGAAGTTGGATGGAAGTTGTTACACTCCCACCTGCATGTGTTGATCTGAAAGTCAAATCTCGAGTTAATAAACCTTCTGCTGTAAGTAGTAGTAGAAAAATAAATGGCAATGTTAGTACCCCTTGTGAAGAAGAGGTTCCGAATACCTTTGATGTTAAGAATGACTTTGCATCAAGCACGGAAGATGCTGAGGATGTGACAGATCTAGTGGTTGATGCAGGGAGTGGTAAAGAGAAATCGTACCTTGAGGAAAGTGAGGGCACTGGAAATTGTAACAGCCTTCAAATATCCATTGGTTCATTAGAGAGTTCTAGTGCTGATGTGATCAGTTATGAGGAAGCTAATGTTAAGGCTGTTCCAAAGCCGTTCAATTTTCTTATTAGGATTCCGAGAATGGATGATAGGACTCTTCAAGAACAGATAAGTCTTGCACAGAAAGAAGTTGATGATAAGACGAAACTCAGGGATGCTATCCAATTTGAGATCCTCGAGGAAAGAGTCAGTAATACATATTAAAGTTCTTTGTTTTTCTTATTTGCTTATTAATTTGAGGCCCAAAGGACCAAAACACAAATGTAACTGATTTTTTCAACTTGCAGGCCAACAGTCACATTCATAGGGCTGCTTATGAGAGTGCCAAGGATGAAGTCAGAAGTGCAAAAAGGTTGGTGAGTTCAAAACGCACGGAGATAGATTCTCTTCTGACTGTGATTAGCAAAGCTAAAAATGCATTATCTGTTGAGGATATAAATGTACAGGCAAGCATTCTCTTTCCCTGTGTTTTATATAAAGATTTGTGTGTTAGAATAGCTTGTGGTCGTCTGTACTAAAAAGAAAAATAAAATTAATATTTCTATTGAAAATATGTTTTCTTCTTTAAGTGATAAATTTGTGCCTCTTCAAAGATACACAAGATGGAGCATGCAATTCAACACGAGACCCTTTCTCTGAAGGAAGAAAAGCAGTTCATTCGTGAAATGAAGCAACTTAAACAGCTTCGGGAACAACTACCTGCTAACCTTGGTAGTCAGGATGAAATCAAACAGGCACTTGAACAGAGACATGAGGCTGAAGTGCGTTTAAAGGTATGCATGCATACTTCATAGTTTGTGCAACTTAAAGTAACTTTGAATGGTAAGTTTTAATCCCGAGGAAGCATAAGTGATTGGTTGTCTTTGGTATTGGTGTCTGCAGATCTTAAGAAAGGAGCTTGATATCCTTAAAGGTAATGTTATAAGAGCTGAGGCAGCTGCGTTGGAAGCAGAGAAGAAGTGTGATGTTGAACATAAAAAAGTAAAGGAACTTCAGACGAAATCCCGAGCAGCTAATGATGTCCGCCAAGCAGCATATGTTCAATTGCTGAATCTCAGAAAAAAACTTAAGGCCAAGGTAATGCATCTTTTGAAAGTACATCTTTGTTTCTCATTGAATGTGTAATATGTGAAGTTTTCTAAGAATTCAAGTTTTAACTTTTAAGTTAAATGGTAGTTATTCTAATCATCACTTATATAATGTATTAGTACTTGTGTATTACAATCTTTCTTTTGACTTTTGAGTAGATTTATAGTATTTCATTAAATATATGTTTTTGGTAACCAATACTGTAGCAAACATGCTAAAATTAAGAGCACTGCAGCTTGCTATCTCGTGACATCAATACATATTGAATGCGTAAAACATGACGTATTCACGAAGTATTCATTTGTTGTAGAAGTTAAGATTGCATGTGCATATCAATCATGAGCATATCTGAGGCTCTTCATATGTACTTTTGTAATTTTATTACAGATGACAAATTGAAAGACGAACAGTGAACAGATTAGGCGATTGACTTGTATCCCGGTTGTTATAGACTATGAAATTGACGAAAGAATTTATTGATTTAATTATATGTAATCCTCTGTAGAGCATAACTTGGACAGGTAAGTAGGTAGATCGAATTGATGCCCATTTGAGATTACTTTAACAATAAGAATGGACGGCAAGTAAATGGTGGGAAAACCTAAAGAATTTGTTGATTAGGCCGCAGACTGTAATTGACTGTTAAAACCTTTCTTGATGGTAGGTAGATATTTTTTCATATATCATTAATTATGGTAGATTCATTAACTAGTGTGTGAAGTGTTTTCCTTGACTGCAGCCTAGATAAATGAATCTTAGGGGAGCAAGCAAATGATATAATGTGTGTCAGTTTCACCTTACTTCTGTGAAATTTATTGGTGTTTCTTCTGTGAGCTTCAGTACCAAAGATTTTAAAGGTAGGGCATTGCATTCATAGTTCTTTGAGATAGAGTAGTTACAATATTTCGTTAATCAATTCCACTCCAAACTTGTATTTCGAACATTCTTATGAGTCGAATTATCTTCACACTTTTAGTTAAATGAGATGCTTCTGAAACTTGTCCCTACTTGTAAAAGCAGCTAAGAAGGAGTGAAAGCTTATCTTCAAGTTAGACCTAATCATTTTTGTACACCGTGTCATGTGCAACTAGAAAAGAGATTGTATATATGAGCACTGCTATATTAAATTGATTGTATTTAATTGTATACATGAAACTGCAGAACGACTACTTCTTCCAATACAAGGATGCAGCAGCAGCTGCCAATCGTTATGCATTCAACAGGAATAAAAAAGCACTCCATGATCTGTGCACGAATCAGGTACTTAATTACTTATCGTGATTCTCTCTTCTCCTCTGGTGTCTAGGCGACTCCTAATAATAATTTCATGATATGATCTGAAATTTCTGTAGGTTGAAAAATATATGGAACTTTGGAACACGAGTGACAAGTTCCGCCAGGACTATGTCAAGTTCAATGAGAAGAGTACGGTGAGGAGATTCGGGACTTTGGATGGCCGTTCACTCGGCCCTCAGGAAAAGCCACATCTTCTACCCAGTTATTCTCATGAGATCGTTGGTAAGATGATCTCAACACCAGCCAAGGCCAACTTGGTATCACAAGTTCCAACTCCTGAGCTGAAGCAAAAAACAACTGTGAGAAATGTGGCTAGCGATGATAAATTTCCAAAGGAAACGACAGAAAAGGGATATCAGATGAATAAGAAAGCTACTGAACATGCGGGAAATAAACAGTTGATAATTCAAGAGGAGCCAAAGAAATTAAGGGAAGAGGCTGTATTGAGTGAGAAGGCAAAAGAAATATTGAGGCGGGAGGAGAGTGAGGCCAAAATGAAGGAGCAACGTCGAGTTGAGGAGATAGCCAAGGCTGAGGAAGCACGTGAGAAGAAGAAAAGGCAAGCAGAGAAAGTGCAGATGAGAGCTGAATTTAAAGCACTGAAAGAAGCTGAAGAAAAAGAAAAGGTGTGAAAATTAAATATTTTCATATCTGCAATTTTCCTTTTTTCATCTGTTGGCATATATATGATGATGAAGACACAACCACAATCTCCCTTAGGTAGTGTTTGCAACACTAAGAAAAAGAAAGGTAGAAAATAGGTATCAAAGTCTTTGATCAGTTGGAAACACGTAGTCTTGAATGTGTTTTAAAGTGTTAAATCCTTGTGTTTAATCAGAATCTACAAATTGGGGTTTAAATCTCTGATTAACTCAAATATTTTAGCAATTGATTCGCGAGCATTCCTTGAGTCCAAGCTCGTTAAAAATAACTAGTGAAAATTTTGGCAACATTCTCCTACATTTGTTGGTAAGTCGCAAAATCCGGATGGCTTTATCCATATACTAATTCAAATTATGATGCAGAAGAGGTTGAGGAGACTGGAAAAGAAAGAAAGAAAAAGAGCAAAAAAGAACGATGCCCCGGATGATATCGACAATTGTGAAGCAACGGCAAACTCTGAGGTGGGCTTGGAAAGTAGAAAGGAGACTGGAAACAAGGAAGAGACGTCTGTTGTGGCCAAAAAGATTCAGGCACCTGTCATCCCACCACCATTGCGAAATCGGAACAAGAAAATGTATCGGCAGTGGATGTGGACGTTTTTGGTTGTCATCGCAGTTTATATCCTCTTCTGCCTTGGGAATTCGGATGTGTTTACGAGAATAACTGCCGACTGGCAAATCTTGCACTAGTGGGTTTGCATTTGGGCACAAGGGAGTGGAGTTTGACTGGGATCTGGTGCCATATATGTTTCAGGTGTTATATTCTTTTGTTCTCTGCTCAGGTTCTGTTATTTTGCTCAGACATATTTTAGTTTCTTTGTTTAACTTTCCTTCTAAATTTCGGTTTCTCATGGGGAGCATATGAAGTTTTATTTCTTAAATATTTTTTCTGTGTGGGGCTTCCAGATTTATTGAAAATTTGAACATTTTTATATATATTGGAATGATACTTTGCGCTAGCGCGTTCTTTTGTCGTGACAAATTTCTTCTTTTTTTTTTTGAATTTATTCATGTATTTTTGTTTTTATAATATAATTCCTCAAATTTATATGCATATATCGTATAACAGCGAACGCGTGTTTAGACTTTACACGCTGTGTATTTGGTGTATATGACTATAATGTATATCTTGTATGAAGAAAAATGACTGGTTGAAATTGTTGGTGCATGTGGTTTGGAAGTTGTTTTCAAGTGAAAGCGTTTGTATGACAATTCGGACCGTGAACACCCCTCGCGCATATATCTCCTCTTAATTTTCTTCATGTCCAATTTCCCAAAGACAAGACATCTGAGACCGCCAAACAATGTTATCGGAAATTAATTTCTCTTTTGTCCTATACAAGTACATAAACTATAAGAAAAAGTAGTAACAGAAATATAGAAAAAATGGTAATAATTCAATTCTGTAATTGAGTACCAAATTAATTACCTTTATGTGGTCATTATATATGTGTGACATACATGTGAGAGACATGTGACAATAATGTAGTGTCTCGTGGTTGACTACTTTATTGGCAAATTATATACCAGAATACATGTTGATTTTTCACTAATTTATTGGCAAATTAAAAAAAAAAATATTGGAAAATTATAAAGCCATCGACCGGAATACATTTTTATTTTTCACTAATTTATTGGAAAATTATATAGTCGAATCGACTAAAAGTCTACAATACATGTTGATTTTTTCACGTTAAAAGTTTGAAGGTAAAAGTAAGCGAAAATTCCTTTATAAATCCCCAATCGACAAATGTATTTCCTCCTCAGTCCCCAAACATTTTAATCTTCCTTCTCAGTCCTCAATGTGAATTTCTATTTCCTTATTACTCCCCATATATATAGTGATTGTTATTATTTTTTATTTTTTTATGTAAAAGTAAAATACTCCCTTTCTCTTTCTTCTCTCTCTGCATCTCTCTCTCCGCCGAACAAACACTCCTCTCCAAATCGCCGGCTCCAAAATCCCCAAATCCTCAATAAAATCTAATCGCAACTCAAACTTTTTATTTATTTTTTTCTTTCAATTGTTTGTTTTTACTTTCACTTACAGTCCGCTAAGAAGGGAATTCAGCGGCGGACCATATTCGACGGAGCTCCGGGAGGCGGAGGTAGGCCTCATAGGCGGAGCATGGAGGGTCGGGCGCCGCCGAGAAATCGGGGGATGGCGATTTGGATCTCAGCGGTCGGGCGCTGCCGAGAGCTCCGGATCTTCGATTATAAGGGCTTGATTACGCTTGTTGTTTCTTGTGTGAGCTGGTTCCATGTTTTTCACTTGATTACGCTTGTTTCTTGTTAAATACAAGCTTTTTAAGTGAGTTTTCATAATTTTTATATCTGTAAGAACAAAAATATCAGGACCTTTTCAAGTTTATTTTATTTTTCTTTTTTGGGGCCGTTTTATATTTGAAATTTTCTCCCAAACTAATTTTGTGGTCCATTGAATCTTATGGGTGTGCCCAAATTTCTGTGTAAGAATTACACAGTACTGATTTTATTTTAATCATTTTTTGTTTAAAAATTACAATATTTGCATGTCAAAAATTTTATGAAAGGGCTTTGTAGTGTCTATGTTTCACAAGTTAATATGTTTATGAATGTGACCCAACTTTGTTTTTAATCAATTGACTTTGGCATCCAAATGCCTGGTTTCATGGGAATTATTTAGGATTCTTGATAATGTTAGTGAGAAGACATTTCTATGTGGTGGGACAACTAAATTTGTGTTGAAGTTTGTATTTGATGGATAAACTGCTAAAATTTGTCTGGAGTTGAAGAACATAGTTGTGTGCCCAAGCTTCCTCTTTGAACAACAACTGGTATTGCTCTTATTTGCCTTTTTCTCTGTTCAGTTAATATCATTGAATACCTTATACTATTGTTTACCCATAAGAAAAAAAGCATGTAACAGAAACTAAGGTTTTGTTTATTTACTTAAGTCGAATTTGCAGGAAGAGCATACAACCATGTTTATATACTATTTATTTGACAACCAATTTAATAATTGTACCATATGTTGAACATAGCTTCTGCTGAATATCTCTTTTCGCTTTATGCGACATGATATTTTTCTGAGGATGACATACGTTTTCTTTAAGTTGTCTTTTACATCCTATCCTTTAATTCCTGTTTTTCTTATTTTTCATCTCTTTAAGTAAATTGGTACTTCTATGCCAATTAATTCTGCTATATAACAAGGTGAAAGCTTGGATTGCCTAAAAAGATGCGGAGGCATTAAAGTGTCAGAAATCGCTTGTGGAGGAAGAAGAAACTTCACAGAAGAGGTAGCTCTCATTTGCATATCATCAAATTTTGGCGACTTGCTGGAGAGATCAGAGGCAGTCATCTTCGTTTTCAATCCACATCCGTCATTTTCTCATAGAAATCTGAGTGAAATCGAGTATTTGCTTGGTTGGTTTTTGAATTTTTTTTTGTACGATTTAATTTGTTTACTGGGGTTGAGAAGAAGAAATAAAAAGGGGATGTCTATATATTGGGGAGTTTGAGGGACAGAAAACACAGGAAATGCGTGTGAAGAAAAATTTCTAAAGTCGCGGAGGAGGGGAAGGAGATTGAGGCGGAGGTGCGGCGCCTTAGAGGGGAAAAATGATATGATTTTTTTATGTTTTTTAAACTTTTACCAGTTTTTCCTCACATAAGTACCAACATTATGAGATATTAATACCCAATTTTTCAGTGTTGAGTACCTACTTTTGTAGAAAGGAAAAAAGATGTGCAAGTGCTTAATGATACCTGTTTTCATCAGCATAGTACCAGTTTTACCGATAATAGTACCAGTTCTTGATGAATTAGTACGTACTTTGTAGAAAGAAAAAAAAAATGAATTACTTTAATTTTGGTCTAACATTTGCAAAATTTAGTATCAATATTATGGTGTTCTAGTACCATATATCGGGTCTTCAATACCAACTTCGAGGAACGTTAGGAAAAAAAAAAAAAAAAGAATTTTGTCAAACAGTACCAGTTTTACAACAAATAGTACCACATTTTACTATATTTAATACCAGTTATTGATCAATTAGTGCATACTTTGTAAAAATAATAAATAATGGTATTACTTCAAAAAATGGATTACCTATAAATTCTACCTATATGTTTTAAGTTCCACTATTTTTCAACCAAATCACGCGTGAACGATCCGTTTAATATATTAACTAATAATTTTACCTATATTAATTAATATTTTTCAACCAACTCTGGCGAACATAAAAAAACGAGTTTTTCATAAAATGTTACCAGTTTTTCAACAAATAATACCACCCCTTCTTCTATGTAATACCGGTTCCTGATGAACTAATACCTACTTCGTAGAAAAAAACAAAAAATGGATTACTTCTAATTTGATCAACATTAGCAATATTTGTGCCAGACCTAGAGTAAGATAATACTGCAATTATGGTGTTCTAGTACCAGATATTGAGTCTTCAGTACTAACTCCGGCGAATGTAAAATAAAACCGACTGTTGTAAAATAGTACCTGTTTTGACGCACATAATACCACTATTTCTTCTTCTCAGTACCAATTATTGATCAATTAGTACCAAATTTTGGTCAACAAAAATGGATATTCAATTGTTAGCATTTTCAATAATTGGTACCATAATTAGAGTAAGATAGTACTAGCTTTGGTGTTTTACTACCAGATATCGGGTCTTTAGTACCAACTCTGACGAACATAAAAAAACACCGAATTTGTGTCTCCAATGATGTTTACATGACAAATAATCACTCTCACACTAGTTTTAATGAGATTTATAACGTGTTTAATTAAATTTAATCACAAATTGGTCATGAACTCAACACACTAATGAAAACACTTCCAACACTTCATCTCATTAAAATGGTACCAGTTTTGGGAAGAATAGTGCTGCTTCTTCTTTAGGGTTGTCAGAAAAACCCACCGGGTTACCCGAAAAATCGGGTCGGGTATACCCGATAGTGGCGGGTTTCGGGTCGTGCTTGAGTTTTATTTCTATACCCGCGGTCCGGGTCGGGTCGGGTATGGGTTTAACAAAAAACCCATTACCCGACCCGTTTACCCGGTGGATTTTTTACCCGACCCGACTTTTTACCCGCCCGATTACTCGCACATCTAATAACTATATATACAAAAAATACATATTCCAAAAATATTAATTTAGTAACTAAAATATTTTTAAATTTTTATATATATTGAAGAATGAAGATGGGGTATATTCATATAATTTGGACATAACTTTTTGTTACTTCTTCTATTTTTATAAGTATGAGCATCATATATATAAATATAACCAATTTATAATGTTTATACAAAGAGAATAGCTCTAATTATTAGAAATAACATATATATAATAAGTTTATACGTGCATAGTTTGTTCTATATATCTACATTTTTACAACTATTACAAACTATGAGTAACTAAGTATTATTCAAGTAATATTCTATGAATAAATCAATGAAGTTGTGTTTATTTGTGAAGGTATGATAAAAGTTCAAATGCATGCGTTTTTTTATGTACATTGTCGGGTCGGGTCGGGTCGGGCGTAGGGTAATCGGGCAAAATTCGGGTAAACGGGTAAAAGAACCCGAACTAATTTGACCGGCAATACTTATTCGGGTTACCCGATTACCCGACGGGTACCCGATTACCCGACGGGTAAAACCCAACCCGAACCCGGTGATGAGTAATCGTGTAGCGGGTTGGGTACGGGTACAGTTTTTAACTGGCGGGTCAGGTACGGGTATGCCAAAACCCGCACCCAACCCGACCCGTTTACATCCCTATTCTTCTTCTACGAAGTACATGTTTTTTATCAATTAGTACCAACTTTTAGTCAAAGAAAATAGATTATTCAATTGTGGTCAACATTTGAAATAATTGGTACCAGACCTAAAGTACGACAGTACCAGCTTTCGATGTTTTTGTACCGGATATCGGGTCTCTAGTACCAACTCAGGCGAACATAATAAAACATCGAATTTCGCTCTCAAATTATGTTTATATGACTAATAATCACTCTCACATTAGTTTGTAAGGGATTTAAAATGTTTTAACGTGAGTTTAATCATAAAATGACCATGAACTAGACACACTAATGAGAAAACACTACTAATACAACTTCACTTTATTGAATGACACACTTCATCTCATAGAATCATCATACATGACTACTCCAAATTCTACTTATATATTTTAACTTCCACTATTTTTCATCCAAATCAGGCGTGAGCGATCCACGTGTCATGGTAGACATGAAGGATTAGAGAAGTCATGATTGTTAAAATAGTACATGTTTTAGCCAATATTGTACCGCATCTTCTTCTACATGGTACCTGTTTTTGATCAATTAGTACCAACTTTTGGTCAATGAAAATGAATTATTCAATTGTGGTCAACATTTGCAATAATTGATACCAGACCTAGAGTAAAATAGTAACAACTGTCGGTGTTTTAGTACCGCGTATCGGGTATTTAGTACTAACTCCTACGAACATAATAAAACATCAAATTTTGGTCTCAAATAATGTTTATATGACCAATAATCACTCTGACATTAGTTTGTATGAGATTTAAAATATTTTAAGTTGAGTTTAATCGTAAAATGGTCATGAACTCGACACACTAATGGGAAAACACTACTAATACACTTCATTTGATTGAATAACATACTTCATCTCACAGAATAATCATACATGACTACTTCAAATTCTATTTATATGTTGTAACTTACACTATTTTTCATTCAAATCTGGCATGAACGATCCACGTGTCATGGTAGACATGAAGGATTGGAGAAATCACGATTCTTAAAATAGTACCTGTTTTAGCCAATATAGTACCGCATCTTCTTCTACTTGGTACCTGTTTTTGACCAATCAGTACCAACTTTTGGTCAACGAAAATGGATTATTCAATTATGGTCAACATTTGCAATAATTGGTACTAGACCTAGAGTAAGATAGTACCAGCTTTCAGTGTTCTAGTAGTGGGTATTGAGTCTTTAATACCAACTCCGACAAACATAATAAAACATCAAATTTCGGTCTCAAATTATATTTATATGACCAATAATCACTCTCACATTAGTTTGTATGAGATTTAAAATGTTTTAAATTGAGTTCAATCGCAAATTGGTGACGAACTTAACACACTAGTGAAAAAACACTACCAACACTTCATCTTATTAAAATGGTACGAGTTTTGGGAATAATAGTACGCTTCTTCTTCTA